AAACCATGGCGAATAGTGAGTGCAATTATAATTTGATATTCATTTCCTGTTTCACTTTTATGAACCTTAATTTTCCCGAAGTTGTATCATTTCTGTTAGTTTTCACCCATTTGTGGAATGGGCCGGCTATATAGCTGAATTCTATACCATTTTCATTTCATAGATGGACAGCAGACATTTACTTTGAACTCGGTAACGAGAGAATCCATTTTGACTTTGTGCGCATGGATTGACTATCGGGAAATGTTTTCTACGCCTTCTGAGGTTAACCAATTCGACAATCACTTTCTTCATGTACACTGGCAAATATTTCCAGATTTGATGCATGCAGCACAAACACTGGAATTTCAAACCTTTTTGGATGTCTATGACAGCTTACTTTAAATTATTCGTAGTACTTCTGTTATTAGAATACATTTAACTTCGTTTTCAATAGATTGTCATTTGAAAGGTAATAATCCGATGAAATTGAAGGGCAGGTGTAATATATGGGGTTGCAGAAAACGTGAATGCCTTGAAGCACAGTAATCTCATTTCGAATTTACGGTGAGAGGGCAGCCAATAATGAGATCTGAGTATTTGGGTAGAAGACTTCTTATGTTTTCTGTGTCAGTCATTCCTCAAGCGGTAAGAGATTTTGAAGCAATTTCGCATTTTTAATCAAAACACGCCACTTCCTGTCCTGAAGTCCTTCATCCGGCAGGTTCGTTCAGTAGATATTAGTTTTATACATAATTGTATCTTGCAACTATGTTCAATGGATGTCAGTAATTATTCTTATAGACGTTTTTTTCATTATCAAAAACTGGTCGATAAACACGAATTTTGTGACACATGATGTTCCACATTGGATTACTCTAACTTATTTACTGTCCTTTATTCAACTGAGTCAATTGAACTCTAATCCATCACAATTCAAGTGGAGTTCATCATACTGAGGCTGTAGCTGACAAAAGTGATGTATTGGCATCTCAATCGCCCGCTCTCCTTCATACCATGTTCTTCACCGATTTATTCATCACATGTTCATTTGTCAAGTGCTAATTTATCATGTGGGGGTTAGTTGCGCGTTTTATGAAGCATTCCATTGAACGGCACAACGACACATTGGCCTCAATGTTTTAGCCTTACTTTGCTATCTGCCGAATATATTCACTTGCATATTCAATGCACTCCTCCTACGTTTTAATAAGCCATTAAGATCCGTGGCATGTGGAAATTGGAAATAGTGTGGAACCGCCAATGATTGCAAGGTGTCTCCTACCTTTCACCTTGATAACATTTACCATTCTATCTCCATCTCCTTGTCTACAGGCTCCATTGCCCATTCCCCCTCTGCCTTCCGCAAAAAGCCACAGCTTCTCAGTCTCAATTGAGAGAGGTAAAGAGCGGACTTATAACTCAAAGGATATTTTTGTCAACAATAAAGAAATCGCGTTTATTGGGGTAGAAATAGGTGCTAGATGATTATCTGCATGGTTTACCATTATTTCTTATGCCAATTTTTCCTGAGGTGACCTTGCGCACACAGGTATGGGGGTCCGCCGAATTTCAATAATCGAAAGTCCAGTGGAAGATAAATGGTGCCCACGATTGACCCTCGTGTTCAACGAAAATATTCGATCTGGCTTCCTGAGTCATTAATATTTACTAGTATGTTCTGAATTATTGACATTCTAGTATTTAGTATCTTTTGAAAAAATAATATAGCCGGGTGTTTGTATTTAAAATGATTAAATTGACTACTTAATAACACCTAAAACATTGTGAACTTGGTCGCGTTCTGGCCACTCCATCGTTTCGTAGATCTGAACTCATCACGTAGTCTATCAAGCACACTAGCAGTCATTTCCACTGCACTAAAACCATCAATTGCCCCTATTCTTTCATGGACTGCTCATTTTATTTCGTACTCCACAAACTCGAATCCTTGAGCATGTAATTTAGCGGAATCTTGAACTGGTGGAGGATGGAAATAAAGCAAAATGGCTTCCAACCTCATTTCTCATGAACGAGGTCCGATCCATTGTCTGTTGTAGCCGCCATCAAAACCACAATAAATAACAATGCCACAAGGTATTAAAGGTCCACTATTTTTACGTGGTACTGCATAAGACTGCTTTTCCCACGAAATTCTGATTTTTAATATTGATGCAGATCCAGATCAGTTGATTCTCCAAATAAATAATTGTAAAATCCATTGTGAAGCAGTAAACTGAGTACTTCTCTATTACCTATCATACCCTGTCTACATTAAAACTGTAAGATGATACACCGCATGTGAGTAAAATTTTCCAGGTTAGAAAAAAAGAAATGAGGCTTCTGGATGGAACCTATTGGATTAAATAATACTGACCAATGAGAACTTAACATTTTGGCGGCATTTACACCCCCTCCCCCCTCCAGACAAAAAGGCACGAATCATGAGATTTGCGCTTTTGGAGGGTGGGGGATGCCCAATCAGAAAGTGCTGCACTTCCAGAGAGCAAAAAAACTAAAATGAGCTAGAGCAATGGTGCCTGATTGACGTCGCGGGGCCCGTATCCCCTTGACACACTCCCTTCATTGTTCATTGGGTATCTCTAACTTGCACATAAACATTATATTTACAATTAAGGTCAAACTACATCTCACGAAATTTAGACCTAATCTATTGTCGAAGGTATTATCAATTAAACATCGATAAAGAGTATTGAACGTATTTATCGAGCAATACCTTCTATACACCTTAGCAGCAATCATCTGTCATAAGAGGGATGATCCTAACAGAGAAGATGATAAGTTAGCAAAAGATCATACCAAAGTGAGGGCCTCTGAATTTGCGAATATAAATAATTGATTAAGATAATTAAGCACGTGCTCGGTGAGAGTTAGATGATGATGATCCTGGTTATGGTGGTGACGAATTCAGCGAAAATCCCATTTTTTGCCATAAGGGGAAACTGAAAGATTTACATTAGAAGGAAACTATATATATATATCGGTGTTACCGATATTTTAAACTTCAAGTGAGATGAGAAGGCATTTTGCCCAGAAAAGGAGAAGTACAAGAACTCTAGTGAAAGTTATATGAAAATTTAAATGCCAAAACTTTTCCCTATTAAGAATTTGAAGAGATACCTAAAACAGGTGTTGATGTGACTATGGTAGATTCAGATGAGGTATGACTCACCTGTTTCCTGGACTCCTACTCCTAGCACCACTTTGCGAACTTTAACTTGCTGATAATTTGGATATTCCCCCATGATGGAATGTTGTGAGGTCATTTAGCGCGGCCAAGGGAAGTAAATAAATAAATAAATGCATTTTCATCATTATAACATTTCATTAGCGGCTTTCGCACCAGCAATAATAACTTCTGTCATAATCTTTCCGAAACGCAATAAACGGACTAATAATTTGGGAAGAGAAGGAAATGAGACGTGTTAAAAAGGCAGAACGCGCTGTGTAACAATCCAGCATAAAAGAAGTGTGCTAAGGGCTTCTGGAAATCCAAACAGATATAAACAGCTTGAATTTAAAAGCGGGCGGAAGAAGTGATTGTGGCGCAGTGTACAAAATATTGCTCAAAACAGAGCTTGAGCACGCTAATGGATGAGCAGAGGGATTGGTGTTTCCAGTGAAAAAAAAGAAGATAAAGTGGAAGAGGTGAGCTGATGGGAGAAGCGTGAGAGGAGGGGATGAGGGGCGTGGGGGGGAGGAGGGGGGGATGCGGGGGGTTGGGGAAGAGTTTATTAAAAAGTATTAGGCATTTGCTTCTCGAATTTTGCTATCAACAGCATAATGACGACACCAATTACCATTCCCACATTTTGCCAGAAAAATAGAACTGTAGGCAAGTGGCAAGTTCGATAACCATGCATTCGACTTGTGGTCAATTCCGGCATCTAAAAGATAAAAGGAAAATATATATATTACTTGTGACTGATGAGTAGTATTTTTTAATGTGTGTACAAATTCTACTTGAATGAGCTTAGAGCCTCTAATTGTCCCCACTAATGTTACGAAAAGAAGTAATCGCAAGGCAGTTTCACCGAGGCAACCGAAATTTTATTTAAAGTTTCCACTAAGAATTTTGAATGAACATTTTCAACGCATATTCAACGATGTCCACTAGATACAACGATTTAGAATTTGTCGAGTTAATTACGTATAGTCAATGTGTGTCCACTGAAAGATAGAACGATTTTTAGAAGAGGTGCAATGAATTAAAAGCCGTTGATAGCCTTTAAAACACGAATTTTAAGCCCGCAGCACTCACAAGCGGATTCATAACAAGTCGTCATTTTTCTAAACAAAAAACTGGCCATGAAGATGTCAGCAAGGATCTTCAGATCAACTACACTCTACTCGGTAGCCCTGGTCCCAAGTCCTATGTAATTAACGATTGGGTCGATTTCTTTAAAGCAACAATACGCTGGGTTTTTTTAGAATGCTTGATGGCTACCTTCTCCTAAGACCTTGAAACGAAGTCTTCACTACCTGCCTCACCTTGGGTAGCAGCTCTCAGCCTATTTGACGAGGAAGTAACAGTCCCGTACTCACCTCCTAAGCGCCTTTACCGATGTGTTTGCTCATAGCATCCAATCGATATGTGCCCGTAGGCATGGCACTCTTAGCATCACAATTCAAATATCGTTTCGCTATCTTTTATACGCGAGATAATCTTAGATACAACTGGGCTGTTCCATTGGTGTCAGCCCGCATTACCGAAGCCGAATTAGAAACTCCACGTAGCTCATCATAATACCAAAACAATCATTTTACAAAGTACTAACAAATTCCTCCAAGTTTCACCTAGCCTCAGCCAAGAAAAATGAACGCTTTGGGCTTACCATATCGACCAGAGCAATGTAGACAAACATGCCAGCCGTAAGAAGGAGGAGCCAGAGATTGACGGTGGGCATTGAGCCTAGAAGCACTCCAAGAACCATTCCAGCGGCGCAGAGAATACTCGACAGGGTGTTGTAGAAGAGAGCTGTCTTCGCTGACATGCCTGCATGCAGAAGCACCGCAAAGTCCCCTATCACAATTTGGAAAGGAGAAAAAAACAGGAATTGAAAGAAAGGAGCTTCACGGACAAGTTTTATGAAGTATCCATACGAAAAAAACTAACAGCAATACGTTAAGGAAGAAGATGCTGTCAACGCAAAAAGGCTCATTAGATTAGTATTCGAAAGGTCTCTGAAATATCGTCAAGTAATAATTTTGCCCCGAGTCTGGGAAAGCTGCGGAAATTCAAAAGTGCATCTACTTCAGGTACTCCACTGCATTTACCCAGTACAGTTAGTAGGAATACCGGCATCAAGAAGGGGATAGGAAGCACGTAGACAAGTGAGTCAGGTTCATATGCGAGTAGATGGCTACTAACGTAAGTGAGCAAGCAAACTAAAGGTGTTTAATAATCAAAAAGGAGCGAAATTGGCACGTTCCTCGATTGTGTGTGTGTGTGTGTGTGTGTGCTAACGATTACGCTACAAATGCCACCGTTAATAGGCATTGGAAGTGATGCCAGTCCAAACAGAATAACCTGTATATAACTCAAAAGTGAGTAATTGATAAGTCACCGCCAATGACCCTTCCCCCTCCCCCTCCCCTCCCCCCTCAAGCATGTCTTGAACCTTATTTACCCCCCCCCCCCGCACCCCCACCCCGGGTTCTGGTCCACTTCATTGACGAAATATCAATGCTCTCCTTCATTGATTAGAATATGCGTGCTTTCTTTCACACCACACTGCATTGGGGATTGGCATTGGATTTCTCTTGCTCAAACACCTGTCACACACTCCAGTACGGTGTCATGCTCCATCGGTTTAAATTCAAATAGAGAAATTACCCCAACTCCTTAGATGACCGAGGTACAAAATATGACGAATGAACAGAGCAATCATCGATTTCCAAGTATATTGTAAGCTACCAAGCACTTTATTATTGAATCATTGGATGGAGGGCTAAGATGGTAGTACCTTTGGACGACAAGACCGAATGAATTAATAAGGAGGGGGGAGGGGGGGGGAAGGGGGGAGGATCCAAATATACTCAAACAAAATGGTGTGTTGTTTGATATATGGAAGTGGGGCTATTGTGGCGAGTTGGTCACTTTCTCGCACTCTTGTGAAGACATCGACTCGGATGAAGTATATTTCAGCATGAAATCTTAACCCCCCCACAATACTACCAAACACATTCACGAGCACAAACCAACTAGAAGGAAAAATGGAAAGTAGACTAGAACAATTACAACCACGCATCTTAAATAACCCTCAATTTAGCACATTTTCCAATCGTTTCACACCATAAACGGAGAATTCCTTTTAAAAAGCAATAGGAGAAATGTTCACAGTGAAAATTGACACAACAGGTCAAAAGTTTGTAAGCAACCATACGCGAGGTAGACTGATATACCTCAAGTTGCCAGAATTTCACTTGGCAGAGGCAAAATTTGAATATCACAAGGCTATTGATCGACAATTTTAAAATTTTGACCAATCATAATGCAGAATTTTGAATTATAGTCGCAGCAAACGCAAAGAAGAGTAGACGAGGTCGTTGAATAAGCAGCATGGTAAGAGCAAATTTGCAAAGATAAAATTTTTTCAATGCGTTTTTTTGGTTTGAATGTCTGACCTCTAATTCTAACAGCTTAATCAATCGCCTAAAATAAATGGAATATTACCTCCACAACACACAACATATTTAAATATCAGCCGACGTAATCTGACAAAAGAATTTATTAATAGGAACTAATTAATCACACGAATTTCAGTATTAGAGAAGTTCATCCAGTGGTTCGCCACCTACTACGTAGATCAGGATGAAACAGTGGAGAAAATCCTCCAGCTAATTTAAATATATATATAAAATGGAGTCGCATCAAAAAATAGAAACAAAAATATCGATTTGCAAATACAAAGTTCACTAGGTTTAAAAGAATTCAGCAGACAAGGAAATAACACAATTTTCAAAGAGATCTACTCAAAACAACAGGGAAATTCGAACCAAGAGTAAGATGATGTCACACTTTCAGTGAGAAGATTATCAAAAACTGCTCAAATTCTGCCCATTAACTGATTCTCTTTGTAGTAGAGCGCCTTTCTCCACATTGATCACTGCATACATAATAGTCAATCGGAATTAGATCTTGTGGTGATGCCTCATGACTGACTCCACTATTTTTGACTTTTCTATGAGATGTGACATGAGGGTGGGGGGGAGGGGAGGGGTTAATCATCCCCTTGCAGCACAACATATATGCCCTATTATCCACAACCTCCCTCCGCTAGCCAGGGCTTAACTACCAATGTGGTGGGAAATTCCACTCAGCCACTTAAATTCAACTTAAGCCATCGCATATGTGAAAATCATGACAGCTTGGGTAAATTTAGTCCACATGGCTGGGGGTGTGCGATAGACACCCCTCCACGTGGTACACCCAGGCCAACGTATACTCCTCACCATACGACAAAAATGGTCTATGAACTAGTAACTGACCTCTTCCACAGGACCCTACTTTTGTATCTGCCCCTTTTACATATATTGATCACTCTTCTGATCCCCCTCTCGATTTTTCTTGACTCTGATGTTCTCTCGCCCCCCCCCCCCCCCCTCCCCACCACCTCTGTAAAGCCCGAAATCAACTTAAGCACCAATGATAATAATCGTTAAAAAGCCTACCATTAGAAATTAATAAAGTCTACATGACTCGATGCGTGTCCATCGGACTCTACACAGGCCAGAGCATCAGTAATTCTAAGTTGTTTTGTCATCGATCTATGGAAAAGTTCTTCTCCTCCTCCTCCTCCTCCTCCTCCTCCTCAGAAAGGAACCAGACTGTTCGTTCTTCAATAAGTTGTTTCTTCCCCTTTGAGAGACGCCGATATATATATAAGGCCTTTTCTGTGAGAAGTTGTTGGCCTCTGCGTCAATTGCTTGTAAGTAGACTGGCGATAGTCCTTATTAATTGCAAACTTTACGATAGAGGTTGACATATCCCATTGTGTGCTAACAGATGTAAAATTCCAACATCAAGGTGATCCAACACTCGCGCAGCAAATTTTCAAGGAAAATATTAGGAGTGGCTCCAATGATGGCGTAAAAGCTTTCCAAATTTAGTAGACAAACGTGGGAAGGGCTTCACCAATTAGTACCCTACTTTTAATACTTGACAATTTGAAATTACAAGCATTCAAAACGCTAAGAAATTGCTAAAGCCTTTTCAATTAATTGGGACCAAATCTTGCTAAGAAATGTGGAAACCAAGTGATTAACGAAGATTCCACTGCAAACATAAAACTCAATATACGGAATGCCACATTGTCCTTGAATTTTATTTTGCCAAATCAAATAATTTCCTTGCTTTTCACAAAACTCAGAGAGTTGCGTTTAAAAATTGTGTTACAATTTCTCGAATTAACGGGAATATATGAGGTAGGGACGCTGCCAAGCTTTGCATTACAGTTCCTAGTAATTGGTTAGGCGAAATGAGAATAATGTAATCCAATCC